TTCCCATAGACCTGAATTTTCTATATGATTTTATTTCTCCTTTAGGCTCATTCTTCAAGTACTGAAAAGCCCCATTTTAAATCTTTTCATTTTCTTTGAGAGTGTATACATAGGTTCTTACTCTTATGGGTATAAATTAGAGATGCATGTTTATAAATGTTCAGTATCTAAAAATAAAATACCTTAAAATTAATTGACATCTTTAACAATATAGTGCCATGTGTCTTAGAGCAAGAAAGCTTTCAAAAAAAGATTTTTCCTTGTGCATGACGGTTTTGCTTCCAGTTAAAGAGATAGTTTGACCGAAATAGCTCATTTTCTAATGATGGGAGCTAGCTAGTGAACATAGTTTCAGAAATACCTCCTTTTCATAGACAGAATCTTTACTCCCCTCCTGGGAAGCAGGGAAATAGGTCTTTGAACCAGGCTGCAGTGTTGAAAGAAAATAATATGTGCAGGAAAATTATTTCAAATGAAACATTTGTTTAAAATAAATAGTTCAGCCGGACTCGGTGACTCAGCCTGTAATCCCAGCACTTTGGGAGGCCAAGGCAAGAAAATTGCCTGAGCCCTCGGGTTGAAGTCCAGCCTGGGCAACATGGCAAGGCCTCCTCTCTATAATAAATAAAAGAAATTAGCCGAGCATGGTAGCATGCGCCTGTAGTTCCAGCTACTTGGAAGGCTGAGGTGGAAGGATCGCTGGAGCCCAGCAGGTTGATGCTGGGTGGCTGTGAGCATGCCACTGCACTCCAGCCTAGGCGACGAAGTGAGACAGCAACTCAAAAAAATAAATAAATAAATAAATAAATAATTCATTATTACATACATGGTAGGAATTCTTAACGTTGAGAAATTTTGTCTTTTTAGTTTCACAATATTTTTTAATTCTTCCATGCACCTAGCATTTTATGTAGTACTAGTAAAGTACCTATTGCACTAATTTTGATAGTAGGAGCACCTACAGTATAAACTTTTATTCTGCCTTTATTGTGTTTTTTTACATTTCCATGTTCTAATTAGATTATTTTGTTTAGTTTAAAATTTATTTCAAAAATCTTGCAATATCTTTTGAGTTAACTGAAAATATCCTGGAATGTTGTGAAATCATTTTTGATAATCATTCCTTCTTGCTTTCAAGGTCTTCAAGAGGGCTTAGACATCTTAAAATCAGTTAATACCATAGAATCAGTTTATACCTTATCATTTTCTAATTTGATAGCCAGAACTGGTGATGGGATGGGAGGATGTTGTATAAGTGAGGATACTCTAAATTTTGGAAAAGGAGTATGGAATTGGCAGCAAGTGAAGATATTAAAGGTAACTTTAAATATTTAGATTTTTTTTTCTGGCTACAACATCTGACTACTTTCTTTGGTTGTGTATTAGTTCTCCTTATCACATTGACCTAGACCTTATCTATCACAATCCATTAAGTAGGTTATCCAGGGCTTTCATTATTCTTTACTCCATATCCATAGCTACAGGTAGTTGGTGAAGGGAGGGAAGAGAGTAAGACCATAAGGAATTTGACATGAAAGGAAAGAATAAAGTTATGATAACTGAAAGCAGTTCCCATTACAGGACTTATAGTGGCAAGTTAGAGCACCTTTTTTTCTTATAAAAATAGCACCGAGTTCTTATCTTGGATATCATTCTTTAAGACAAGCACTTCACTGCTTTTTTAAATTAAACCCTCTAAAATATAACATATTAGGTCATAATTTATCTATTTTATATGTTATTTATTCTTCTTGAGGAAATTTTTAAAAACATCTTGGTCTCTTCAATATTTATAAGCCATCTAACTACATTTCCCTTTGAGGACTTTTTTCATCCAGGGAAACAAAAAGTTGTTGGGAGTGAGATCAGGTGAATAGGCAGGATGGGGCATTGAGGTTCTGCTGCTTTTGGTCAGAAACTGCAGAGCGCTCAGCGCCGTATGGGTAGGTGCACTTGTAAATCATCCATTATGAAATGGGCAAACACCTTGAAAGAATCTCCAAAAAAAGTTCATTGAAGCTGAGCACAGCCTCTCACAACAATATCAGCTGGTACACTGATGCCAGTGGGTTCCTAGAACACTTTCCTAGCAGGAGAAGCGTGTACTGCTAGAGGACTACTCTCCAAAAAATAAGTCCAGTTTTATTTGGGTCCCTCCTCGCACATCCTGCTGTGTACTCTTTTAAGTACTTACACAATATCAAGTATCCTGCTAAGATACTTTGATAAAAATGTCACCTGTTTTGAAGCAATTTAAAGTTGAAAGAGGGAATGTTGTATAGTAACCTTATTTACAATATATATTCTCTCTCAGTTTCTGATGCAATTTTGTAACTCAAGTATTGGAGATATTTTTAAAGCTATAAAACAAGTTAGTGGCATGCCTTTTGGCTACCTGATGATTTATTTTTTTACTTTCCTGCATTTTCCTTCATTAACCATTTTGAAGTACCTTATATGTGTTGAGTATTATACAGTATGTACCTCAGAGAACTGCTCTTAGAAACCATCCTTCCTACCAAGAAAGAAAAATGAAAAAATTAAAATTATGTGTGGAATGTGTTAAAATGGAATAATATTTTCTGATATACTGGGCTGGGATAAAGGAGTGATTATTTCTACTTAGGGAATCACTTTTGATTGGAAACAGGCATTAAAGTTATTAGTTTTCAAAGATAATTAGGGATTTGAGGGAGGAAAGAACATTATGAAGGGGAAGTATAATATTAAATGGCAAGGTAAATTTGTGGGACTCTGGTGATTTGTTGTTCCATGTAGATTGTGTGAAGATGTCATGAGAAGAGATTCAAAATTTAGGCAAGAATCAAATCAAAATGAACTTTGGGCTTGATCCTTTTGGTAGTAGAGAACTATTTAAAAACTTTAAATCTGAAATATTCTGTTTGGATTACAGAGATATCCACACTACTCTAAGGAATAGTGTGAAACTAATTGGTGATCATTGTATGAATCCAGGTGATATGTAATGAGGTTTGAACTATATTATTAGTAGAAGGAATAAAGAATGGGAAAGATAAGACATAAGAAATGATTTTAGAGGTGCACTGCATGTGGGAGGCAACAGAGGAGAAGGAGTTGAGTTGACCTAGAGGTTTTCTGGTATGGATTTCTGGGTTGATAATATAGTATAGGAATAAAGGGAATAAAGAAGGAGCAACAGGTTATAAATGAAGTATGTTCAAATTTTGACAATGATTTTGAGAAGTCTGTGATATATCTAGAGGTACAGGGTAAGGGAAGAGTATTTCTGGCTGACAATAACATGAGTTAGGAGTACACACATAAGGTCTGCATTGGAGGTAGAAATGTGAGATTTGTTTTGTTACAGGCTTTAGGAAAGTTGTGGCAGAAAAATGAAAGATCTTTTACAAATCAATAATAAAAAGACAAATAGAAAAATGGGCAAAAAGCTTGCACAGGTACTTCACAAAAGATGATATGCAAATGACCAATAAGCATAAGAAAATATAAGAAAATGAGACTTACCTTTATCAGACATCATAGAATTAAAGAATAAACCACAATGAGATACCATTCACTAGAATGTCTTAAATACAAAAGAAGAAAAAAAGAAAAAAACAAGTGATAACAAGTGGTGTTGTTGTACTGGAGAACTGACTATGGGGGTGTGTGTGAGAGAGAAAGAGAGAGAGAGAGAGAGAGAGAGAGATAGAGAAGGGGGGGTCGTGTTTACTGATACTCCCACCATGGTCAATTTCAAGCTACCAATGATTTAAAAAACCAACTTGCAAAATTTGTCAATGTTTAACAAATCAGTATAAGTGGGGCTGCAGCACACCAACCTAACAATTTCATTCCTAGGTATATACCCATTAGAAATGCATACATGTTGACCAAAAGACACAAGCTAAAGTGTTTATAGCAATGCTCCAGTGCTAAATGTTTTTGTGGTGCGTCAAACTGTAAACAGTGCACATGTCTCTTAATATCAGAATAGATAAGTTGTGATATGTTTATATAATATAATATAGCAATAAAAATAATAGACTATTTAAACTCTAATTATGCTTAATAACAGTAATATATATTGAAAGCATAAAGTTGAAACCTGACACAAAGTAATAACATATTATTTTGTGTAAAGATAAAAAGCAAGCAAACTAATCTTGGTAGTGTCCAAGGTTGTGTTGGCACTGCACTTAGAAGTCAGGCTGTGATTGAAAGGTGGCACAAAGGACTTTCTGGGATTCAGGCTATGCTCCATTCCTTGATTTGGGTACCATTTACTAGAATGTGTTCACCGTCTGAAAATTCATCGAGCTGTAATTTATTTTTTTATTCTGTTCTAAATGTGCGTTTTGTATTAACAAAAAATGTTTATGTAGGGCAAAAGAAGCCAGTGGGCAGAGATGTGATGACCCTCCAGGGATATATAAAGTAAGAAGAGGAGTGACAGGACCCTGGGGAACACAAAACCACACGCACATTTTTATTTCCTTCCCTGTTTTCCTTAGGATCCCTTACAGCTTTTTGTATGACATTCTCACAGAAGGTAAGGCTAATGCTAAGAATAAAACAAGAGTAGTATTGTTCTTATAGCATTTCTACATAGAGATTATTTCTGAGGGACACTTGGACCAAATTTATTCTCAGATTTTGAAAGAGTTAAAGATTGGAGAATGAAGAACTGTGATGCAACAAGCTACCCAGAGGCAGATGGTGCTTAATTCAGAACAGCAACATTTTTTTGTAAACCTTCTTAGTGTATTGGATCCCAGTGAATGCACTGTAGTTATGTCATCATCTCTGAGTTGTATACTTAAGTGATATACTTTTTGAATTATTTGGTTTGAAAGAAGGGAAAAGTGAAAGGAAATCCATATTGACCATCTCTTGAAAGAGTGCTTTTTACTTTCAATTCAACAGAAAGGTCCATTCCTACAGCCTATTAACATATGATGTTAGAAAAGTGAATGTCTGTTCATCTGGACAGTTGCTTGCTTATGTCTCTTTTTCAGAAATGGCAAATAATCTTTTGAAGACATCATCTCTGTCTATGAGGACAAAATTTCTATGTCAAACAGGATTGCCACTTTATAGTACATCTCATGGCTTCCATGAGGAAGAAATAAAAAAAAAACTTCAGCAGTTTCCTGGTGGATCCATTGACCTTCAGAAAGACGACAATGGCATTGGCATTCTTACTCTGAACAATCCAAGTAAAATGAACGCATTCTCAGGTATTAGAGTTTTTTTTCCTCTAAGTAAATAATGACACCAACTCTATCCTGCTATCATGCTTTTAATCCTTGCTGTGGTGACATAATTTTTTAAAGTAATGGTACTCTTTGTAGAACCTGAAAAAATAAAATAACAACAAAAGTTCTATAAATATGAGCCAGGAACATTTTTACTAATTATGAACATTTTCATGTATTCAGAAATTCATGAGTACAGATGCTGATAAAAAGAGTTAATCTTGATTATACTTTTCATTGAAATGCAATAACCATTTATTAGCTTCATTTGTTTATTTTCAGTTAATGCCACTAAGAAACAAGGAAAAGGAGGTTTCAAAGGTTTTCTGAAACTAAAGAGAAAAGCCTATAAGTGAACAGAATTATTTAGCTTACATTTTTTCTGTGAATTGAGATAAGACAGTCATTGTTAGTTTTTAACTTTGTAATTCCATTGTTATGAAACACTGCACTTGCCTATCTTTGGTCTCTTTCCGAACTCTTAGATACTGGTAAATACCTTCTATTTGCTAGGCAACACTCTTAGCATCTAAGAATTTTATATTTAAGAGACCTAATTCAAATCATTCCACAAAAAAGATACCTGCACACAAGTTTGTTTCAGCTCTATTCACAATAGCAAAAACATGGAACCAACCATGCTGCCCATTGAAGCTGGACTGGATTAAAAAAATGTGGTACATATACACCATGGAATATTATGCAGCCATCACCCAAGAGGGACACACATATGGACTTTGCAGCAACTTGGATGAATTTAGGGTCGATCATACTCAGTGATCTATCCCAGAAACAAAAAACAGAGTACCATATGTTTTCACTCATAAGCGGACCATGAACAATTATCATAATAGTATAAGAAAGGGATTGACAGTAGTGGGAAACTGCCAGGGGAGGTGGGGTGGGATTGGCAGTTGAGGGAAACTGCCAGGGGAGGGAGGGGCACACCACATCAACAAGGGTACCTGCATAATGAACATTTGCATACCTAACCCTGAATTGTAGCCCGCATATTTAAAATAAATAAAAAAGGAGAGACCCCGAGGATCCAAAACATGTAGTAATTTTAAATGTCTGCTTAAGCTCAAACTTGAATTATGCTACCACGATGCTATGCAAGAACTAATAGGTAGTCTTGCTGAACATCCACCACTCACATTTCAGTGTGATTTTGGTAATCTCTCTTTGTCAGTTAATGTACTTCACGGGGATAATTATATTCTTTAGTAACATTTGAAATATTGAACTAAAAAATAATCTCAATACATTTTCTTCTGTCTATACATATAAAATCATACCTAGGGACATAATTTAACAGACTGTAAACTTTGTAAATCACCAGTGGTGGTTTTTTTTCCTTTAATTATCAGAATTCAGAGGTGTTTCTGTGCTGACCAGTAGAAATATAATGCAAGACACAAATGTGAGCCACGTATATAATTTTAGGTATTCCAATAGCCACAGTCTAAAAAAAAAAAACATGTAAAATTAATTTTTAAATTAATTTTATTTAACTCTGTATATCTAAAATATTTCAACATATAACTGGAAAAAATATGAATAGGTTTTTTTTAAAATTTTCGTACTAAGTGTTTGAAATCTGGTATTTATTTTACACTTACTGCACATCTTATTTTGGACTAGCCATATTCTGAGTGGTCAATAGATATGTGTGACTAATAGCTACTTTATTAGACTATTTGGCTTCATTCCTTTAATTGGTTTAGGAACTAAAAACCAATTTTAATATTAGCTCAGGAAAAATAAAAATAGAAAGGCATTACTGCTTTAGAGGGTTAAATTAGATCAATAGTTTTAATTTGCTTCTGAAATAGTTACAAATGACAGTTTTTTACTCAATTGGAAACACATGTCATTTTGATGCATAATATAGGAAACTAATAAAAGCAGAGCTGCTTTGATTTGGATACTGGTTTTTGGCTAGATTGGGTTGGAGACGATGGGTAAGTCCCCAAGGCCCTTATTTAAAGGTTATTTGACTAGCTTCCCTTTCAGATCTCTTTCAACTTTTAAGGTTTATTTTACAAAGTAAAATAGATTAACTATTAACACAGTTTTTTATATTCAAGGCCAGCTTTATTTTTGTAGGAGCATAAATATTATGAATGATTGAAGATCCTTATTTACCTTTACAGATTTATTTTTATCCTAAATGTGTGGAGGGTTTTTGTTTCCCTACTAGACTATAAATCATTTGAGAGCAAGAATTACTTTTCTAAAGCATCTATAATATCCTTGAGAAGGGATACAGTTTTAGGTCATGTGTCGCTTAATGACAAGAATTCTGAGAAATTAGTAGTTAGGTGATTTCATCATTGTGTGAACATTATGGAGTGCATCAACACAAACCTAGATTATATAACCTACGCATCTAGGCTCTATGATACAGCGTTTGCTCCTAGGCTACAAACCTGTATAGCATGTTACTGTACTGAATACTGTAGGCAACTAACACAAACATGTAATGTATTGCACTGATATTACTATGACTATGATACCACTAGATGATAGGCATTTTTCAGCTCCATTATAACTTTTTTTTTTTTGAGTCAGAGTCTCACTGTCACCCAGGCTAGCGTGCAGTGGCATCCTCACGGCTGCTGCAGCTTCTACCTGCTGGGCTCAGGTGATCCTTCCCCCTTGGTCTTCCAAGTACCTGGAACTACAGGCATGCGCCATCATGCCTGCCTAATTTTTCTTGATTTATTATAGAGGTGAGGTCTTGCCAAGTTGCTCAGGCTGGTCTTGAACTTGTGGGGTCAGGCAGTCCTCTCACCTCAGCCTCCCAAAGTGCTGGGATTATAGACGTGAACCACTACCCTGGCTGACCGCCATTACAATTTTATGGGACTACCATCGTATAAGCATTCCATCTTTGTTGCATGACTGTGGGTAATAATTAGCAATTAGGAAGGATACTCATTTGCATTAGTCAAATGCATTAGTTATTTGTGAGTTAATAACATTGATTATTGATATTGATTAGGACACCTTACTACTGGTTACTTCAGAAAATGGCAAAGAAAGTAATAGTTATTGACACTATGGGATATGTATTTTTAAAAGTGTACAATATTTTAATGGGCCCAATATAGTAAATTTTGAAACCTTGTGATACAGATTCTTTGCTAATTTTAACCCTTTGTTATGACCTTTATATTGGCTTCTAAAGCATTTCCAAGGCAGAGGAAAAGAAAAGCAATTGTGTTGAGAACAGTGAACTTTATGAACTTGGAAGATCACCAGAGATAAGCATATCCAAAAGTTATTGATTAAATATTAAAATGACAGTCTTTACTATTTGTATTTTAACTGAGTCGATTATAAAGAAGCTACAATAGAATTTTAAGCTGATATCAAGAAAACAATCTGATCTATAAATAGTAGAATCAGTTGTTGGTAGGCCTATGAAGCACTTCTATAGTATGCAGTGGGCTCTTCAGAATACAGTTTGTCCACCATGGAACAAGATGATGTGTGGTTAGTTTCCTGAATGAATATCCTATATACTAGTTCTGATGTGAGTATGACAGGAATCTCACTTTGTTCTGTATGTAATATGTCCAGAATATTATAACTATAAAGCTTATTGGCTAAGAAACTTAAGATGTTTATTGCTAAAAAGTCAGGCCTATGTTTTATCTTTACCCTAAGAAACAGTTTTTTCTTATCATCAAATCTCATATTCTAATTTTTTTTATTCTTAGGACATGTATGATATATTCTTACTTTTCAACCTAATTATATATTTGTGTGATTTCTTAAGATGGATAAAGAGATAGAGACACTAATAAACTTAAACTTTTAAAGCAGGAACTCTCATATATATATCTCTTTTGTATACTCTATAGTACCAGCACAATAGGCATTTGATAAACATGCAGTAAATATATGACCTAAGAGTGCTGCATGACACATTATGATTTATAAATTATTTCTGTTTTTCTAGTCTCTCAGATGTGTTTGTTATTTCCCCCTCCTCTTTCTGGCAGGTGTTATGATGCTACAACTTTTAGAAAAAGTGATTGAATTGGAAAATTGGACAGAAGGGAAAGGTCTCATTGTCCGTGGGGCAAAATATACTTTCTCTTCAGGATCCGATCTGAATGCTGTGAAAGCACTAGGAACTCCAGAGGCAAGTGTTAAATGAATTGTGAACCAAATTCTACATGCTTACCAGACATCTATGACTGAGCTATTTATGTTTTCCTTATACAGTTGTGATGATGACTTTAATAGCTTTCAAAGGATCAGTGGTTTTTTGTTTTGTTTTGTTTTTGGTGGAATTATAGGGGAAAATCCATTATTCGTCAGGTTTTACTAATAGGACATCTGCAAATGATGCTTTGGTAAAAACTTTTAAATTACTAATCTTTGTGGTTTAGCAAAGCACCATCAGTTAATTTGGCTTATTGGAGGGTAGAATTTGCATTCCTTCTTTCCCTCTATATTGTTTCTGCTTCTTTCTTCCAACCCCTACTTTGTCTTTTTCTTTTCCAGTTCTGTCGATTATTTTTTAAAATATATTTTAATTTTAGAATAATTGTATATATACAGAGATATTACAAACATAGTACAGAGTTCCCAAATGTCCTATATCCACTCTCCCCTTTGTTAAAATGTTACCATGGTACATAGGTTTGTCACAACTAATGAACCAACACTGGTACCTTACTATTAGCATGACTCCGTTGTGTGATCTCACTTATACATGAACTCTAAAATTATGAAAGCCAAAGAAGCCGTGAATGACTGGTGATTGCTAGGGGTGCTGGGGGGGGAGAAAGGAAAATGGAAAGGCACTGGTTAAGTGGTGCAAAGTTTCAATTGTGTAAGATAAATAAGTTCTGGAGATCTGTATACCATAGTGTTTATAACTATAGTATATACTTAAAATTTTCTAAGGTGGTAGATTTTTTTTTTGTTGATTTGCAGTCTTACTCTGTTACCCAGGCTAGAGTGCAGTGGCATGCTCACAGCCACCGCAGCCTCGGCCTGCTGGGCTCCAGCAATCCTTCTGCCTCAGCCTTCCAAGGTGTCAGAACTACAGGCGTGCACGACCACGCTCGACTAATTTTTCATTTATTGTAGAGACGAGGTCTCACCAAGTTGCTTGGGCTGGTTTCGAACCCGTGGGCTCAGGCAATCCACTGGCCTCTGCCTCCCAAAGTGCTGGAATTAACAGACCGAGCCACCAAGCCTGACCAAGATGGTAGCTCTTATATTGTGTTTTTAGCACACATACACACAAAAATAATAATAAAAGTGATAGAGGAAATTTTGGGAGATGATAGATACGTCGTCTATAGTCTTGATGGTAGTGATTGTTATCTACAAACTCATCAAGGTGTATATATTAAATACGTATATCTTTTTACTTGTTACTTATACTTTAGTAAAATGGTTTAAAAAAAGAAAAAAGAATCTCTACAATTTATTCATATTTCACTAGTTTTTTTTACTATTGTCCTTTTTCTGCTTTCAGGGCCCTATCCAGGACACCATAGTACATTTAGTTCTCATGTCTTAGATTTTCTTGTCTGTGACAGTTTCTCACATTTCTCTTGCTTTTCATGACCTTGACAGTCAGATATTTTGTAGAATATCCCTCAGTTGGAATTTGGCATTTTTTTTCCTATTAGACTGGGATGTGGGTTTCTGAAGGAGACAAAAGACAAAGTGCTGTTTTCATCACATTATGTCAAGAGAACATACTGTCAACATGACTTATTACTGCTGATGTTAACCTTGGTTACCTGGCCAAGGTAGTGTTTGCCTTACTTTGCTACTTTAAAGTTACCTTTGGTACTCTACTCTTTGGAAGCAAGTTAGTAAGTTTAGTGCACACTTCAGGGAAAGGGAGAATGAGTTCCAGTTCCTGGGGGGGTGGGGGGAGAAGGGCTATGTCTATGTAAATTATTTGAAATTCTTCTGTAAGGGTGATTTATGTCTTCTCCCTCATTTATTTACATATTTATTTATATCAGCATATACTTGCGAATCTTTATTTTATTTTAAAATTGTGGGGTACATGTGAGGGTTTACGAAATAAGTGCATTTTGTGAAGGTGAGACTTGGGCTTCTGAGGAGCCCTCTCCTCCCCAGTGGTGGGCATGGTACCCAGTGGGTGGCTCTGTGTGCCTGATTCCTCTTCCCTCCTTCTCTCCTTTATCAAACCCCAGTGTCTGTGGTTCCCATCCTTGTGCCCATGTGTGCCCAGTGTTTAGGACACATTTAAGAGTTTTTAGTTTTTGTGATAATTCCCTTAGAATGATAGTCTCCAGCTGCTTCCATGTTACTGCAATGGACATGATTTTGTTCTTCTTTATGCTGTGTAGTATTCTATAGTGTGTATGAACCACATTTTTTAAAATCCAGTCCACCTTGGATGGGTATCTGGGTTGGTTCGATGTTTTCGCTATTGTGAATAGTGCTGTAGTAAACATATGAGTGTGGGTGTCTTTTTGGTAGAGTGATTTGTGTTTCTTTGGGTATATTCCTAGAAGTGCTGGGTTGAATGGTAGCTCCTGTTTCAGTTCTTTGAGAAATCTCCAAACTGCTTTCCACAAAGGTTGAACTAGGTTACATTCCCATCAACAGTTTACAAGTATTCCCTTTCCTCCATAGTCTAGCCAACATCCGTTGTTTTTTTTTTGACTTTTTAATAATAGCCGTCATGACTGGTATGAGATGGAATCTTATTGTAGTTTTGATTTGTGTTTCTGTGATGATTAATTATGCTGAGCACTTTTTCATGTTTGTTATCTGCTTAAATGTCTTCCTTTGATAAGTATCTGTTCATGTCCTTTACCCACTTTTTAATGGGGTTATTTGGCTTTTTTTCCTGTTGATATGTTTGAGTAGTTTATAGATCCTGGTTGTCAGGCCTTTGTTGGATGCATAGTTTACAAATATTTTTTTCCCATTCTGTGGGTTGTCTCTTTACTCTCTTGATGGTTTCTTTTGCTGTGTAGAAGATTCCTTATAAGACCCCATATTAAGCTACAATGATGAATAATATGCATTATTCATTTTGTTGTTCAGTTCCATTTTGGCCGTTAGAAGCCTTTTCAGGTTAATTTCTGTCTCCCTTTGACACTTCCCTATTCTTTTGTTCTTTTGAGCACTCCCCTGGTTTCTGGTATTATACGGTATTCCAGGTCAATCTTATATTTTCACTGTTCTAATTCTATAACCAGTGATTTCTCCAAGGAGTCCTGGTTATGGGAAATGGTAGAGAATGGTGTTAGAGAGTAAGGTCTGGGTTGTGGATGTTTCTCTTTTTCAAGTACTTTGAGGGAGCGTGTTCCTGGGTTAGTGGAGCCTACCCATAACTATAATAGGATAAAGAAAGCTCTGAATCCACAGTGAGAAGTGTTGAGTTTAGACATGGATCTGCCACTTAACTAAATGAAAGTTACTGAGCTTTCCTGTTAGCCTTAGTCCCATGGGGATAGTAAAACCTATCTCACAGACTTTTTTGAGGATTGAGTTAGCTAATGTGTACTAAAGTGCTTTGTAAACTAAAAAAGCTAATGTAAGATTTAAATAGGCAATATAAATTGGTAATATTAAGGTGATCGATCTAATTCAAGATCATCACTTTTCCTCTAGAAGTTATATGAAGTTAAATACTCTTTGTTGCTTGTTTGATTAGGGTGCAATAGTGTGAAGGGCTGGGAAAAAAAGGACGGGAAGATTAGCAACAGACAAGGGTCATCATTAAAATCAGCAAGGATTTGAATTCCTTTAAGTGGAAGTCCCTTATCATCTCAGAATAAGAAGCTTTACCTGAGGTATGTGTATAAAGCTGCATAATTCTGGTACATGGTAGATGTCAACAAATAGTACCAGTTTTAAAACTATACTTTTGAATTACCCCGATAGAGTTGGAATCCTTATCATCTTCCATTATCAGTCCTCCAAGGAACCCGTTTTTCTTGAATTCAGCCCCCACCCCACATATTCTAGGGGGAAAAAAAAAGAAGAAAGGAAGGATGTAAAAATAGAAAGGGAAAAAAGTAAGTATTATTTTTTGCTGTTTAGTTATAGATGTGGGTTGTATGTAGGTAATAAAGTTTTAATGGTATTCTACAAGTCTCATACTACTGTGTATAATATGTGATTTTTATTTGCATAAATATGTGAGGAAAAAACTCTTGGTAAGTCAGAGCTCTGACTTTGATAGACTTAGATTTGAATGCTATTTTCAACACTTGCTGGCTAAGGGATCGGGCAGTTCACCTAATCACTCTAAGTCTTATTTTTCTAATCTATAAATGAGGATGATAGTATATATTTCTCTGAACTATTGTGAGGATTCAAGATAATATATATATTTATATAAAGTGCCTACTAGCACTGTATCTGAAAATTTAGGTATTGGTTTTATTTCAGAACTCTTGAGATTTTAATAAACAGTATTATCCATAAAATGGGATGTGTAATTTGTAGCACTACTACTAGACTTCAATTTGTAATGTGTCTGAATGGCTAGAATACTAAAACTAGAAATTTGGAGATAGGGATTTTTTTTTCTTAAGATATATCAATAATTGGCCGTGTCACTGCAAGTTGTGATATCCCTTCTCGGTGATATCACTTATCTGAAATTCTTGGGACCAGAAGTGTTTCAGATTTTGGATTTTTTCTGATTTTGGAATATTAACATATACATAATGAGATATCTTGGGGATGAGACCTAAGTCTAAACACAGAATTCAATTATGTTTTGTTTACTCCTTATACACATAGTCCATGGGTAATTTTATACAGTCTTTTAAAATAATTTTGTGCATGGAACAAAGTCTGTGTACATGAGGTCAGGTGTGGAATTTTCCACTTGTGGTGTCATGTTGACACCCAAAACATTTGAATTTTGGAATATTTCAGATTTTGGATTTTTGTATTAGGAATGCTCAAAGTGTGTGTGTGTGTGTGTGTGTGTGTGTGTGTGTGTGTGTGTGTGTGTGTGTGTCTATCTCTAGGATGGTTGCATTACTGTGCACTTTACTTAGTTCATTAAAGAAACTGTAAAGATAGAATGAGATAATAGATTGTTGTGGGGCTTATATAAGTTGTGTAGTTAGGTAGTAAAACATCTCTAAAAAGATGAATAATTATTTATTTTCGTAT